TTGGAGAATGTTCAGCTATCATCTCTTAGAATATTTTTTCACCACACTGTTTTCTCCTGGGATTCCAGTGACAGGAAGGTTAGACCTTCTGGTATAATTACATGGATTCCTGAGATTCTGCTCATACATCTCATCCTTGTTCTCTCTGCTGTTCAGATTGCATAATTTCTACCAATCCATCTTCAATGTCACCGACTATTCTGACATCTGCATCTCCATTCTGCTATTGAACCCATCCATTGAATTTTTTGTTTTCTTTTTTAGTCGAAAATTCCATTTAGTATTTCTAATACATCACACACACACACACACACACATATTTAATTTGCGGGGCAGAGAGACAAAGAGCTCTCATTTATTGGTTCATTCTCCAAGTGCCTGCAGTGATTGGGACTGGGGCAGGGCAGAATCTAGAAATTCAGTGCCAGTTTCTTACGTGGGTGGCTGGAACCCAATTACTTGGGCTGTCACCTGCTGCACTGTAGGGTCTACATTGGTAGGAAGGTACAATTGGTGCAGGAGCCAGGAATCAAACCCAAGCACTCTGATATGGAATACAGATGTCTTAACTGCTAGGCCAAACACACACCCTTGGTATTTCTTTGTATCTTCTGTGTCTTTACTAAGACTTTCCATCTGTTAATTTCATTTCAAGAGTGTTTCCCTTATTTAGAGCATTTTTATAATGGCTGATTAAGTGTCTTTGTCAAATAATTCTAACATATGTCATCTCAATGCTAATACCTGTTGATTGGTTTTTCCTATGCGAGTTGAAATTTTCCTGGTTCTTTGCATACCAAATAATTTTGGGTAGTATCCTGGATACTTTGGGAGAATATTGACCTTGTTTTGGCAGGCATTGAACCTGGTTGGATTCAGGCCACAAGATTCATTAGACCTAGGCAGCTCATGTCAAGAGCCTCTGGTGATCACTAGTGTCATACCTAAGAGTGTTAATTGTTAAGTTAACAACAGGAATCACTGGGTACTAACTTCCCGTGGAGGAGCTCTATCATCAAAGATCGGGATTATGAGAGTTAATAGTAAAACTTGTTTGCAAAGATTTACTTCGTTTTAATGTATTAAGTGGAGGATATTTTTTATGTCTCATAAGCTAGTTACGTCTAAGCGCATGCAAAAGACATACCATCCTTGGGTTCTTCAAAATTAATTAAGTTTATAAAAACTATATATATAAATTAAACATCAGAAAGGTTTACTTTTATTTAATTAAAAAGTACTTTTTTAACTTTTTGTAAAAATAATCCTTTTGATGTTCTATCACACAGTAGGGTAATAAGAGTTAAGAATAACATTGTATTTTTCTAAATAGCTAGAAGAAAGACTTGAATGTTCACACTACAAAGAAATCTTGAGTATATGAAGTGACAGAAGCTAATTATCCTAATTTGATCATTAAAACATATGCATGTATCAAAATACTGCATTGTACCCAATAAATATGAACAATTATTGTTTATCAGTAAATACACATAGTCAAAAAAAGATTCATTAGGATTGCAGTAACTTTCATTTCTTCTTTTTTTTAAGATTTATTTATGTATTTATTTGAAAGTCAGAGTTACACAGAGAGAGAAGGAGAGGCAGAGAGGGAGAGAGAGGTCTTCCATCCGCTGGTTCACTCCCCCAATTGGCTTCAACGGTCGGTGTCACGCCAATCCGAAGCCAGGAGCCAGGAGCTTCTTCCAGATCTCCCACATGGGTGCAAGGGCCCAAGGACTTGGGCCATCTTCCACTGCTTTCCCAGGCCACACCAGAGAGCTGGATTAGAAGTGGAACAGCTGGGATTCGAACCAGCACCCATATGGGATGCCAGCACTACAAGTGACGGCTTTACCTGCTATGGCATAGCACTGGCCCCTCATTTCTTTTCTTTAAAAAAAAAAAAAAATTTATTTCAAAGAGTTACAGAGATAGGTAGAGACAAAGAGAGAGGTCTTTCATCAGCTGGTTCACTCCCCAATTGGCCACAATGGCTGGAGCTGAGCAGATCTGAAGCCAAGAGCCAGGAACTCCTTCTGGTTCTCCCACGTGGGTGCAGGGGCCCAAGTACTTGGGCCATCCTCCCCTGCTTTCCCAGGCACATTAGCAGAGAGCTGGATCAGAAGTGGAGCAGCCAGGACTCAAACTGTGCCCAAATGGAATGCCAGCACTGCAGGCCAGGGCTTTAATCCGCTATGCCACAGCTGTTTCAACTGTTTCATTTCTATAGCCTTTGCATTGCTTAGTAGTTCTCTCTGTGGGTTGTGATCCTGTGCTTACAAGTTCAGTTCTCAAATTCTTTGAGATTCTGTAGGATCAAATCCATACAGGTACACTTTGGAGGGTAAGTCCAGCAGTTCATAAAAAACTTGATGGGGTATATTTCTCAATCTCCTCCTTCTGTGTGATGTCCCAGATACTTTCTGGTTTCCTGGGACTCCCATTTTCAGACAAGCAGCATGGCTTTTTGGGCTCATCTGCTGTATTTAATTTGCGGTTGGATTAGAAAGCTCCCGTCTGAGAGTTTGAAGCATCTACAGACTTGTATTGCTCATCAGTTGCTGCCAGGAAACAGCTTTCCCACTCCCTTAACCTGAACTCTGGAGGAGCTTCCCCTGGAGCTTTGTGCTGTGTCCCGTCCAGGTTTGCGTCTGGAAGATACTGCAGGGGAGAAATGGTGAACTTTTCCCCAGGTTCAGTAGGACTCGGGGTTCTCATCCTCCCTGATCTGCCTGTGCTGTTTACTTTTCAGGGTCTTCAAGTAGCTACTTCATGTTTTCTGTTCCACTTTTTTAGCTGCATTCAGGGGGCAAGGTTGGATAAAGTGTACCTAGGACATCTTACTCAGAACCGGAACCTCTTTGGCTGCTTTTAGGAGGTTTTTTTTTTAAGTTTTAACTTTGATTTCTAGAATTTGACCATGATATACCTAAGTTTAGTTTTCCTTAAATTTATCTTGAGGTTCACTCAGCTTTTTGAATTGTAGGTTCATGACTTTCATCAGTTTTAGGAACTCCTGGGTCATTGTTTCTTCAAAGATTTCTTTTTCTTCCTCTCTAATTGTTAAACACGTGGTATTCATCTGACAGTACATGCCTTGTTTCCTACGCATTCTTTTTTCTTCCTCCCTGTGCTTTGGTTTATGTAAGTTCTATTGATCCATCTTTGACTTAACTAGATGTTTATCTAGTGTGCCTAGTCTCTCTTTTTTTTAACCTTAAACCAAGTCCTGAATATACTTTATAATTTAAAAAATGAAAACCCTGTCCAATTGATTGTATATTTTGATTTCTTCTGTCTGAAACAAATGATGGAACTAGACATAACTATTACTATATCATGATTTTTTTTTTTTTCTAAAAAGAACTTTTAAAATTCTGTTATTAGTTAAGGCATCTCCTTTTTCTGTCCTGGGGTAAGGCTTTCAAATGATCAGATACTAAAAAAGGTATACAAGTGGTCTTCAAAAAGCTTGTGGGAAATGTGTATAATGAAAAGACTAAAGCATGAATTTCAAAATTTTTGCACCAAAGTAAACTTATATTTTAATTGTTTTTCCATTAACTTTTTGATGCATCCCTATATTTTTGGATAGGCAGAGTTAGATAGTGAGAGAGAGAGAGACAGAGAGAAAGGTCTTCCTTCCATTGGTTCACCCCCGAAATGGCCACTACAGCTGGCGCGCTGCACTGATCCGAAGCCAGGAGCCAGGTGCTTCCTCCAGGTCTTCTATGCGGGTGCAGGGCCCAAGGACTTGGGCCATCCACCACTGCCTCGCGGGCCACAGCAGAGAGCTGGACTGGAAGAGGAGCAACCGGGACAGAATCCGATGCCCCAATCGGGACTAGAACCCGGGGTACCGGCGCCGCAGGCGGAAGATTAGCCTAGTGAGCCGCGGCACTGGCCGCATCCTTGTATTTTTCATCAGTCTACAATAGCTGATTAGTTTCTATATGAGTAAGGTAGAATGAACTCATTTATTCAGTTATTTAACAAATATTATTGACTACCATCTGACAAGTTGAGGATAATCTTCTTTAAGTTATATATAGTGTATTCTACCATTAACAAAATTTACCCAAAATTTAATATTGCATTCAGAGTCTTATAGCACTCTGTCTGCCTCCAAGAGTCCAGTGTGAAGAGACGAGGTAGTCTGGCTTACCCTGGCATTCCTTTCTTCCTTACTCTTTCCATTTTATTCAAAACCCAAACAAGGGGCCTGTGTTGTGGCATAGCAGGTAAAGCTGCCACCTGTGATGCTCACATTCCATATGGGTGCCAGTTTGTGTCCTGGTTGTTCTACTTCCAACCCAGCCTTCTACTGCTGACCTGGGAAAAGCAGCAGAAGATGGCCCAAATGATTGGACCCCTTGTGATCCATGTGGGAGATCTGGATGAAACCCCTGGCTTCAGTCTGGCCCAGGTCTGGCCATGGTGGCTATCTGGGAGTGAACCAACATATGGAAGATCTACATCTCTCTCTCTCTGTCTCTCCAGATCTCTTTGTAACTTGGGATTTTGAAATAAATCTTAGGAAAAAAAAAATTATTGAAAATGTTTTAGTTATATACCAGGCAATTTGGCAAGCACTGGGAAATACAAAAATAATTTAATACCATGGTCCCTAGCCATAGCAAATTTTATATTTTAGTCAGACATACATAGAAATAGGTGCCAGAAGGTCTTAGAAGTATTATGATAGAAATATATATATGGTACAAGGGAGGCGGAATAGAAGTAGTGGAAATAATCCTTTCTAGTACAGGTAGAAAAGCTTACCAGGGAAGATAAGAACTTACAGTGATTTTTGTAGTATAAGTATAAGCTGCATGGAGAGATAGGGAAAATTTTACCCCAGTAATAGTCATTGTTAAAGGTATAGAAGTGAAATACCATGCAATTTATTTACAAAACATAAGTAGTCCAGTAAGACTGTTGGTATACAACTTGTTTTACTGATGTACTTCCTTTCTTATTAAAAATCTTCTTTAAAGGTTATCAACTGGCAAACATCTCTTCACATTCCACCACAAGCTAAACTGAGTCCTGAAGCTTCAGATCTGATTATTAAACTTTGCCGAGGACCAGAAGATCGTTTAGGCAAGAACGGTGCTGATGAAATAAAGGCTCATCCATTTTTTAAGACAATTGATTTCTCCAGTGACCTGAGACAGCAGTCTGCTTCATACATTCCTAAAATCACACACCCAACAGATACATCAAATTTTGACCCTGTTGACCCTGATAAGTTATGGAGTGATGATAATGAGGAGGAAAATGTCAATGACACTCTGAATGGGTGGTATAAAAATGGAAAACACCCTGAACATGCCTTCTACGAATTTACCTTTCGGAGGTTTTTTGATGACAATGGCTACCCGTATAATTATCCAAAGCCTATTGAATATGAATACATTAATTCACAAGGCTCAGAGCAACAGTCAGATGAAGATGATCAACACACAGGCTCAGAAATCAAAAATCGCGATCTAGTGTATGTCTAGCACACTAGGAATTAATTGTAATGAGCATTTGCAAAAAACCTGAAATGCAGGAATTTTTGAGGTTTTAAGTAAAATTATGCAAATACAGCAGAGCTTTCTATGTATGGTGCTCTGTTTACAATATTTTATTTTCCTAAATTATGGGAAATTCTTTTAAAATTTTAATTTATTCCAGCCTTTAATCATTAATTTAGAGAAAAATTGTTATAAGGAAAGTAAATTATGAACTGAATAGTATAGTCAGTTCTTGGTACTTAAAGTACTTAAAATAAAAAATAGTGCTTTGTTTAAAAGGAAAAGCCTGGTATCTATTTGTATATATGCTAAATAATTTTAAAGATAAGAGTTTTTGAAATTTTTTTGAAAGACAGTTTTAGTTTTATCTTGCTTTAACCAAATATGAAACATACCCAATATTACAGAGCTCTTTTTTTCCCACCATAACCTTGTTTCTGGTTTAAAGTAAGCTAGAGATATTAAGCCATCATGTTGGTATGTGTTCCTAGGCTAATGATAATCTGTATAATTTACATCCTGAAAAAAAGAGACAGGGTTGAAACAATGTTAATATGTTCATCAGAAGGAAAACTAACAGTTTATCTTTTCTCCCTCTGTGGAGTATTTAATCTCACATGTATTTCTTCATAATTGTTGGCTTTAAAAGAAGCCAAAGCACTACTAGTTTTCTTTCCATCTGGTATTAACACTGCTTCTGGTTTTAAAAGGGAACAAAGCTGCCGTAAGTCAAAAGTTTCAAATACTAAAAGCTAAGATCTTTTGTGTTTTTACTTTGAAATTGAGAAGAAAATTCCATCATCCTAGGCAAAGAAATAATTTTCAGTTTTATACAAAACTAAAGATTCTTTATGAATATTGAGTAGAAACATTTTGTCTATAAAGGGACCAGTTTTGATAATATCGTCAATGTTATAGGTTTCCTTTTTCTGAACAGTGCTGTGTGTACAGATTGTTATTGGCAAAGGTTGATTTGGCTAACTGGCAATATTTTATCTAAGGGCAGGTTAATTGGTTAAAAATGAATTAATTAAATCTTGTTTGATTTGGTCATTAGTATTAGCAAAAGTTAAAATGGTCTTAGTAGAAAATTCACATTGTTCTAACTTATTTAAGGGTAAAACTATGTTTTTCAATATGCCTATTTATATAATGCATAGGTTCCAAGACTTGTGATTTCATACCAAAACATGTGTATCTTATCTTTTAGAAAGAGAAAGCAAGCTGTATTCTGGCAGTAGTACAGTTTGTATTTTATTTTCTTAAGCTCCACTGATAGGGAATTGTTTCCATTAAAAGTTAGTATTTGTAGGTAGGAGACATAATTTTAGTGATCTTAAACTCTTAGCTTTTCTCATATAAAAGCTAATGGAAAACATAACACCTATGTAGTAAAATTAAAGGAAAAACTGTCCTTGTTGAATTGTGGGGTGGACACAGAATATTTATTAGCTCACATTTCCCACTCTCCTATGGGTGTGACCCTCAGAGCTCAGTGTGCAAACCTGCCCTGTAATTTGGTGGGTCTTTTGAGTCACTGGTTCTTTTGAGGATTTGACGAAAGCTGTGGACACTTGTCCCAGAAAATACGTGTATCAACACGTAAGGTGTAAATGTTGCATGCAGTTGCAGGGGAGTCTGGACCTGCTGAAACCCATCACAGGCTCTAGGTTAAGGACCTCTTCCTATAAGTAAGTATTTTGCTTTTAATTTGCCAGTCAGGACTCAAACGAGCACATCTTCTATAAATGCTGATAGTTTGTGATGGAAAAGATCTGCAGCACATGATCAGAGGACCCTAGGAATGCCTCCCTCCCTCTTTCTTGCTGGTACAGCTCTCAGATATTTCAGATGCCATTTTGAAGACATTGAAATGTTTGGCTTATGACAGGCTTGAAAAAGAAATATTTCAGGAGAATTTCTCTTCAGAATTGTAAGAAAATGCACTATAATGAGATGGCCATCTTCATTTCATGGAACATTTAATTAGTCCTATAAAATTCTATGCAAAACAACTTTTGATAGTTCAAGAATTTTTAGCTTGGTACTCAGATCTGTAAGACATCCCTCTTGCTCTTTGGGCTTTCTCAGTCAAATTTATTTAAATTTAGTTGCTTCACTTCTGGACTTAATGGTGCAATACAGTAGAAAACCAACTTTGTTACATTTTACAATGTAGGTAAATCTAAGATGCTGTCTTCTCCCTACCGCAACCTCCCCACAAAATCGCCCCTATTCCTCAAACGTAACAGACACTACAAATTTTATGTTATTTTAAAATTTCTGCTGACAGCATAAGCTTTTTGTATTTATCTGAAGCAGGATACAAGCCTTTGTTATCTGCAGTTTTAATACTTTAGCTATCTTATTCCGTACTACATCCAGTTACTCCGCTGGTGCTTCCTGACAAAAGGATGAGAACAACATTAAAAAAAAAATCTAGATGTTCTTAATTGAAATGGAGTGAAAACACTGTTTCTACATGTTTTCTTTTTAAAATAATTTTCTCGTTAAAAATTTGCTGTCTTTCTTACACCTACTCCCTTTATGCATATCAATAGTATTTATAAAATGTGTCCTATAAAATTATGTAATTGTAGATACTTATGTATTGTCCAGTGGCATCTCAAGGCAGGACCTAATGCTGTATCTTTTCTACCTTATTTGTAGTAGAAATTATAGAATGTATTGACTAAGAAGTCACTTTGAGACTGACTTTTTAAAAAAGTTATTACCCTCTGCTGTTGCAAAGTGCAAAACTGTGAGTGGATATGTTTTTATTCTGACTTAATATGTTAGAAATTAGAGAATACAGTGGGAGGATTTTAGACATTGCTGCTGCTGTTACCCAAGGTACTTTAGAAATTTTTCTTTAATAAACAAAAACCCTTTTGCTATTTAAAGTGAAACATTTAGCCTGTTCGTTTTAATCTAAAGCAAAAAATAATTTGGGTCAACATATTGGTATATTTGTAAAATGCCTTAATATATCCCTTTGTGGAAGGCACTACAGTTTACTTTTGTATTGTATTGTGTATATAAGTATTTTGTATTAAAATTGAATCAATGACAACATTACAGTTTTATAAAATAATGCTTTGTTAGAAACAGGATTAGAGCTCTGCAGTATAACTAAATTGTTTTGCATACTTCTGGATGTGACAGATATAAATAATCAGCCTGTGTTTTTAACGAACCTATTTGTATTTTCCCAATCATTTTCTCTAGTGTAACATTTGCTGGGACAATAAAAAAGCAAAATTCAAGTATTTCAATTATGTGTGGGAAGTTGACTTTTTAAGCTGTTTTATTATATGTGGTTTTTTATTCAAAAATTTATTTAAATCTTTGTCAGAAAATTTATGATTAAGAATTTGATGCTTTGGAATTAAAATATATGTAACTTATGATAGTCCTAGATAGGTTAAGGCAAACAAATTAGTGTAACCCAGTAAGTTATTTGCATGAGCAACAGGGAGAAAGAAAGCTTCCCCAAAAACCCACAAAAGCTGCTGTCTAAGCAGCAGGAAGCTGGAGTCAGAAGCCAAAGCCAAGTATTGAACCCAGATACCCTAATGTGAGATGTAGGTGCCTTAATTCACATCTTAACTGCTGGGCTAAATCCTGCCCCTGTTAGGTCTCCCTTTATCCTCTGGTTTGCACCCCCTTTTAAATTTGCATTTGGTCTGCACGGGGCTGTGGTGTAGATAATACAGAATGCATTGTTTCCATGATTCTCTTTTATGCATTGTAGACCCATGTTCAGCATGCTTAAGTGTAACTTCCTTTGCTGTGCCAAAGTCCCTTTCTGCGCCCTCACGTCTCTGCTTATATGTGTGAAGGGCAAGAGAGGCTGCCAGACAGGTGTATTTGAATCATAGACAGTTAATTGTCCCGGAATCCAGTTTCTCCTTCAGTACTCAGAATCAGGAAGCAATGTTGGGTTGTTTCCTCTGGGGAGGAATTAAGTTTGTTCTGTGACAGGAGAGAAGAAAATAAAAAGGTGCCCATGAGTATCCAGCTCCCTGAGGAACTAATGACCAAAGCTGCTGTTGCTCTCTAGTACCCATTTTCCATTTTTTCCTCACTTCTAGAGCCCCCATGTCTCCCCAGTTTTTTTTTTGTTTGTTTGTTTTTGTTTGTTTTTTTTTTTTTAAACAGGCAGAGTGGACAGTGAGAGAGAGAGAAAAGTCTTCCTTTGCCGTTGGTTCACCCCCAAATGGCCACTGCGGCCGGCGCGCTGGGGCCAGCGCACTGCACTGATCCAAAGTCAGGAGCCAGGTACTTATCCTGGTCTCCCATGGGGTGCAGGGCCCAAGCACTTGGGCCATCCTCCACTGCACTCCCGGGCCACAGCAGAGAGCTGGCCTGGAAGAGGGGCAACCGGGACTAGAAACCGGTGTGCTGGTGCCGCAGGCAGAGGATTAGCCTATTGAGCTATGGCACCGGCCTCCCCAGTTTCTGCTGCTGTAGTACAGTCCATGTTTATCACACTTCCTTGTAATTAGGTGTGGCCACATGACCAGGTATTGGCCATTAGGATATGAGCAGACATGTGCAAATCCTAAATACACTTGATATTGTTGGCCCTCCACTTGCTCTTTCCCACTCCCCCCAGGACGGAACATGGTCATAGTGATGATGTTATGTTGACCATGAAAACCAGGACAATAACTGAAGTGATGATGGACTAACAAAATAAACAGAGTCTAGTCATCTGAGAGATTCTGCAAAGCAGGGTTGTCTGTCCAGCTTGAACTGATCAACTGCAGAATGCCAGAGGAAAATAGAACTCCTAAGCTTATCCCCTAATTAATACATTAGTACCTAATTATACCTCATTACTACTGAGCTTATACCCTAATTAATATGGTGTACAGCTTATATTAGCATCAAATGTGATTTGCTGCACAATTTATGGAGGCTATTTTGTATTTAACCACATTCCATTCAATCATCAGGAGATTTAGTTATTTTACCTCTTAGGTATTTCTCCAATTCACCATCTTTGTCCTTACTGTTCACTAATTTGGTTGAAGCCCTCATCAGCCTCAATTATTGTTGTAAGTTTCTAATAGAAATATTTGGCTTCATCCTGGTCCTTTCAAGTTCATTATTTAACCTTTCACCCAAATGACTTACTTAAAAAAAGTTTTTCTTTTTTAGAAACCTTTTATTTAATGAGTACAGATTTTGTAAGTACAACTTTAGAATATAGTGGTTTTTCCGCCCATACCTGCCCTTCCACCCCCACTCCATCCCACCTCCTCCTCCCTCTCCTATCCCATTAAAAGAATGGATTCTGCTTCGAGTGTAACTGAGTCAGTCCCTTGGGGATTTACTCTATCACATATAACAACTATAAACTCTGAGGAAAATACAAAAATAAAAACCAACAGAATAGATAACCAGTTACCAAAAGATACTGGAGTGGAACCAAGAACAGGCAGATGCTAGAGAGTTGACTGTTGGAAGAGAGAAATGGCCAGTAGGTGAGTGTTTTCTTTTCATGATGGTTTGCCTGAGAAGGGCCCAAATCGCTGGCTGAATCATGAACCATATATAGGGATTACTCCAGACATTTTGAGCTGATACTTGAGGTACTACCGAAGAGAATTAGAGCCAAATCGAGTTAACTTCCTCTGTAATAAAAGTAAAGTTCCTACAGAGTTCTGTCACAGAATCCAGAATATGTCTTTTAACATATTTTGGAATCCAAAATAAACTTAGCATTACAAGAAAATGTAAAAATATGTCCTATTCGCAACAGACAACACAACCAGCAGAACTCAATCCCCAGGATCCTATTGCCAACATTTCAAACTGGCACAGATGGACAAAGGCTCTTAGGCAATCATTTAAAATATTCTCAAAAAAAAAAAAAAAAAAAGGAAGTTCCAGTGAAGACATACAAACTATAAGAAATAACTAGGGTCCAGCATTGTGGTGTAGTGGGGAAAGTTGCTGCTTGCAACCCCTGCATCCCATATGGGCACCAGTTCATTCCTGGCTCCCTGTTAAGGCACCTGGGAAAGCAGCAGAGGATGACCCAAGTGCTTGAGCCCCTACACCCACTTGAGAGACCAGGATAAAGCTCCTGGCTCCTGGCTTCAGCCTGGCCCAGTCCCTGCCATTGTGGCCATTTGGGGAATGAACCAGTGGATAGAAGATCTCTCTCTCCCTCTCTCTGTAACTCTGCATGTCAAATAAATAAAATAATTCTTAAAAAAAACTAAAAGGAAGTTCCAGAAATAACACAGACTTGATAGGCTTGACAAAAGGATGGAAGTGACCAAGGAACAAATTTGAAGGTAAAAATTAGGAATTTATTTTGAAAGAGGAAAACATTTAAAGATATATAGAGTCTCAATGATATGTGAGATAGTATCTAAAGATTCAACATAATTGATAGATGAATACCCCTCTTGCCAGTGGAAAACAGAGCAGAAAAGTGTTGGAGGAAATATTGGCCCCAATGTACCTAATATGATGAATGACATAAATTTACTGATTCAAGAAACACTGGGGCCGTCATGGCATAGTAGATAAAGCTGCCACATGTGACTCCAGTATCCCATATGGGCTCTGGTTCAAGTCCCAGCTGCTCCACTTCTAATCCAGCTCCCTCCTAATGGCCTGGAAAGCAACGGAATATGGCCCAAGCATTTGGGTCCCTGCCACAAATATGAGAGATGTGGATGAAGCTCCTGGCTCCTGGCTTTGACCTGGCCCACCACTAGCCATTGTGGCCATCTAGGGAATGAATCAGCAGTTGGAAGATCTATTTTCTCTCTCTCCCTCTCTCACTGTAACTTTGACTTTCAAAATAAATCTTTAAAAAAAAAGCTTTGAAAACCCACAGAGGCAGGAAACAAAGACTATTCCAAGATCCTGTGGCAGTCATGAAAATGAATGGCTTAGGGCCAGCGCTGTGGTATAGTAGATAAAGCTGCCGCCTGCAGTGCCAGCATCCATAAGGGCGCCAGTTAGAGACCCAGCTGTTCCACTTCCAATCCAGCTCTCTGCTCTGGCCTGGGAAGGCAGTAGAAGACAGCCCAAGTCCTTGGGCCCCTGCATCCATGTGGGAGACCCAGGAGAAGCTCCTGGCTCCTGGCTTTGGATCGGCACAGCTCCAGCCATGTGACCATCTGGGGAGTGAACCAGAGGATGGAAGACCTCTCTCTGCCTCTGCCTCTGCCTCTCTGTAACTCTGCCTTTCAAAGAAATAAGTAAATCTTTAAAAAGAAAGAAAATGAATGGCTTACATCTTCTATTGAGAAGAACGGAATTAACTAATGACTCAAGTGCTTTGCCCTGAATCCATTGCCACCACATCTGTGCTAGGGTGTTGGCTCCAGCAGTGACTGACCCAGCAGGCATACTAAAGTAGCTCTATTCCTGCAAGATGCAAGATTCCTCTGATGGGTTGCTTTGAGCTGAGAACTTCCCATTGCCTTATCAAAATGTGCCTAGAACAGCATGATAGGGGCCAATGCTGTGGCGCATTAGGTTAATCCTCCGCCTGTGGCACCAGCATCCCATATGGGCGCCGGTTCTAGTCCCGGCTGCTGCTCTCCCAGTCCAGCTCTCTGCTATGGGCCAGGAAGGCAGTGGAGGATGGCCCAAGTCCTGGGGCCCCTGCTCCTGCATGGGAGACCAGGAAGAAGCACCTTGCTCCTGGCTTCGGATTGGCGCAGCGCCTGCAGAAGCGCCCATTTGGGAAGTGAACCAACGGAAGGAAGACCTTTCTCCCTATCTCTCCCTTTCACTGTCTGTAACTCTACCTATCAAATAAATAAATAAAATCTTAAAAAAAAAAAAAAAGAAAAGAAAAGAAAAAGAACAGCATGATAAGCTAAGGCCTTTCCCAACTAACCTTTCTCCCTTCTCTCCTTCACAAAGTCTAGACTTCCATTATGATACAGTGTCTTTACCAACCTCCTCTTTAAAAAAAATTTTTTTTAATTATTTATTTGTAAGTCAGAGAGAGGAGAGGCAGAGAGAGAGAGGTCGGTCTTCCATCCGATGGTTCACTCCCCAATTGACCGCAACAGCCGGAGCTGCACCAATCCGAAGCCAGGAGCCAGGAGCTTCTTCTGGGTCTCCCACATGGGTGCAGGGTCCAAGGACTTGGGCCATCTTGTACTGCTTTCCCAGGCCATGGCAGAGAGCTGGATTGGAAGTGGAGCAGCCGGGTCTTGAACTGGCGCCCATATGGGATGCTGGCGCTTCAGGCCAGGGCGTTAACCTGCAGCGCCACACCGCCAGCCCCCCA